TTATTTCATATCACTTTTATGTCAACTTAATGTTGAATTACAACAGTTATTTAACTCTATTGTAGTAGCCGTAGCTACCGTGGTGCCTGTTCATTTATGATCTGATTTATATTTCCATAAATTGAATCGGATGAATGTCACGTGAATTCGTTTGGTATTTGCCATGTTTTAGTATTTTATCCATGATTATAATGTGTGACAAAGTGTATGATGGGCGTCTTTTAGGAGCATTCTTTAATGACAATTATATTGTAAAGTTTGTAATCTTGGCTGCTTGAATAAAAAGGTTTTTTCGTCCGTCGTCCGTCGGTGTCCATCGTAATTGAGGGTGACTAGTAATGCACTTGTGCGATTGTCACTATAGTACATGATATACTGGACTTCTGAACTAACATCGCAACATGTTCAACTTAGAAATGAGAACCACTTGCGCAGCGGAAGTTTTTTGTTCGACTACAATAATATAAATAAGAACTAGTTGCGCTACAGCAGTACGTGTTCCACAACAATAGATGATAACTAGTTGTGATACAGTAGTATGTGTTCCACAACAGTAAATGAGAACTAGGTGTGCTACAGCAGTACGTGTTCCACAACAGCTGACGATTATGTTGACTACAATAATATAAATAAGAATTAGTTGCGCTACAGCAGTACGTGTTCCACAACAAAAGATGGGAACTAGTTGTGATACAATAGTATGTGTTCCAAAACAGTAGATGAGAACTAATTGTGCTACGGCAGTACTTGTTCCATAACAATAAATGAGATATAGGTGTACGACAGCAGAACGTGTTCCACAACAGCTGACGATAATGTCGACTACAATAATATAAATACGAACTAGTTGTGCTTCAGCAATACCTGTTCCAAAAAATAAACTAGGCGTGATACAGTAGCATGTGTTCCAAAATAACAGATGAGAACAAGGTGTGCTACAGCAGAGTATTTGCCACTATATGTAAATGAGATCAGGTTGTGTGTCGACGACGTAGGGTAATTCAATAAATATGATATGACCCTTATTTGCATTTCTTACGACGCCAAGATGTCGATATAGATACTGTAACTTACAAAAATGGAGAGAATGTATGAGGTTAAAATGTATATACACCTTGTTGTCAGCTTTTTTAACACGATTTCCAATTGTAGTTGATTATAAAGAACGTTTCACTAAGGATGTTACGTCTGTGTCATGTAGAGCCGCCCTGCGGGACGGGAGTTCGGCTTTCACAGCTCAGAAAGCTAGCTGGACAAACAGTTTTTGTTATTGTTGTGTTTTGTACGGCCATGACGTGAGGTTGGTTATACAACTTTGCATGGATGACAATCGCTAGTCATTGTTACCACATATTAAGTTAATACGTTTGGAGCCCAAACCGGAACAGGTTATTGTTTTTACAGTGAGAAAATGCGAAGTATCGCCACAATATTGCTGAACGTGACCTTCCTTGAAGCCGTGATTATTGCTTCGATAACGAGAGTGCGAGTCGGCAGTTGAAAAGTTCGATATCGAATACAAATGTCATGTTTGAGATGGAGGATAATAACGGATCTGCAAGGATTGCGTCCGACATTTGACATGGTTGTTTTTTCTTACGTTGTTTTTTGTTTGTTTTTGAGTCAAGAAGGAACAAAGCGAACGTCATAGTTTAACTGCCCCAGAGGAGGACATAGGTCATCAGACGTATTAGGCAGCCTAAGCCACTTTGACGTGCCAGATGTGGGCTGAGCTGTATATTATTCCTGACGCACAAACTAGCCTTATGGAGTACCACTCTACAATTGATAATATAGTTATCTTGAATACTATTATAAAACAATACTTATGAAAGAAGGGGAAAGATTGACATGGCTTTTGTAGACTTTATAAAAGCTATTGCCACAATACATTATGGAATAAGTTGGTGTGACAGGTAAAATTATTTATATATATGGTGCAAATTATTTATTAATGTGTTTTCCCAAATTCAAGAAGAGAAGCAATAATCTATTCTCTGGGTTGTTTAACTGTCCGCAAGGCTAAAGGCATATTAAGCCCGAAATTGTTCTCGCTCGTTCCCTAAATGAGTTATTAAAATATGTTGGAAGATTATATATTCCTAGCAGACTGTTATTTCCTCACAGAGTACAGATCAGATCATATAGGAGGGTTACAATCTGATTAGCAAAACTCAGAAGTATGGTAAACTGGAAATTGTAAAACATAAGTATCTTGGGCAAATATTTACTGGTAATTTAAATTGGAAGGAAAATGTGCTTCAACAATCACTAAAGGCTAAAAAGGCATGAAACAGTATATTAACCATTTCTTTAAAATGTAGATTGTAAAAACATGAATATTTTCTGCAAAATATTTCCAATCTTATCTTATAGTTGTGAACTCTGGGGTTTTAAGAAATTGTATCTATCTAATACAACTCGCAGCTACGCTGTCTTGGGGGAATGCGGTCGGTTTCCACTGTACATTGCAATTATCAAAAGAACTGTGAAATATTGGTTGAAATTAACGAGATTATCAAATTTTACTACGCTTTACATGTGATATATTACCGCTGTAACACAGAAAAGGAAGGCACACTGAAAAGAAATAACAGAATCTGTAAACTACATATTTGTGATAATAGTGAAACATAAGATGAATTTCACTTTTTGCTTGTGTGTAGACTGTAATATATATCAGAAAAAAGTACATTCCTATTACGTTTTGGAAATATACCCTGTTGGTGGCTTCTAAAAACAATGACTTAATGTAAAACTTTGCTTTGTCTATGCACACTGCCTTTAATTATATAATGCCACTTTTACAGTAAATGTTTGAAGAGACTTTAAGTATGAGGAATTTATGAAGCGCGAGTAAAAGAATGACCTGCTGTTGCTTGCTGTCACCTGATGCCACCTGCTGTTACCTGCTGACCTGGCACATGTGCCTGAAGGACATACATTTTGTTGGGATTTTGTTATGGGCCGGGGGCCTACATCAACAAATTTGATTGATTGACGAGCCAAAAAGCTAGGTTCCAATACCCAAATTCACACATACAATTTTTCCATATTTGTCAGCACCATACCCGTGCTCGTTGGTTCTACATAGTTGTCAACAACAACACTTCAGCCTTTCTTCCTCAATGACGCCAAGATATACTTGAAAATACTGTTCAAATCGGTGTTAAACCTTCCACTCTCCTGTCGAAGGCATTGTCCACTACATCACGAAGGCGAACAACCGAGAATTCTGTGGTCAGTCTATGGTTCATTTTATAGTTATTGCATGTCTATTTATGCCCGGATGGTGTGGAGCGTTGCTTCAGATACTGGTTTCCCTGGTTGAGACACGATTATTTACAGGTCTCTTAAAACGTCTCCCGCTCATCGACTAATAGTATCGATCTCCTGTATACCATTCTCAAGGCCATGTCACAGGGTTAATATCATGTCAATTTTCCAAAATCCTCATCATTTAAATTGGACACAATGTTATGTCTGCATGGGAAAACTTCACATATGGCAAAACATATCTCTTGGAGAAACAATATGGTCATACACTGACAGCGGTATGAAAAAAACCCTTTACATTCATCATCCACCCCAAAGGCGGTATTTTGCAGCTTTAAAGAATATTAAATAAATAAAGCGACAAAACCCTTTTTATAGCCAATAGAAATCTCGATTGTACGAAAATAAAGAAAGGTTAGAACCAATAGCAGACCCGAATAACATTCGGTAGCTTTAATGTACACCAGAGTCAATTACAAAAGTCCCAGCCATATATGTCCAGTTTCTTTAGCACCAGTATGTAACTGTGAGACTTATATATCACTGCGTACATAGGCACTCTGTACCAAAGCTCCCGCAAAACACAAGCTACATCAATCTGTTTAAGTGAGGACAGAAATCCTCTCAACCGATAATAGATAGAAATCTTGTACACCATCGATTGAAATGCTATTACATAGCATCACTATAGCAAACAGCAAATACCAAAATAAATGATCATCCAAAATTACAATGTTCTTGAATAAAACATCGCATCTAAATTTGCACTTACATCAGTTTCTTTGCCTTTTTATCCTTTATCGATTTACCGCATCTTTCCTGTTTATAACAAGGGACATACTTTACTCTCCACGCGGTCGAGGCCTCTCTACAAGACGAGAAGGAAATTAACCTTGGTTCGGAAATCTAGGCAGGAATTCAGGTTATGATAAGTTCGGAATCATTTATATTCTTTCTTATATTTAATCAATATCGCACTTAAACAATCATACGAGAGTTAATGGACATCCGGTATAGCTATATATGGCAGGAGGGAAGGACAAACGGGAGGAGACAAACACACAGACGGAAAACAAACTCAGAGTGAAGCATTGCGTATGTTCTTGGCAGTGTTGTGCTCATGACTATAGAAAACGCTTTATATACAGTGATCTTGAGAATATTGTCTCAAAGAGAAAATCTGTCGAGGGATTGTGGAGGAAAGATGAGCATTGTGGCGTAGTAAAGTATAAAATACATACTATATCCAGAGCACTATGACAGAAAAGAGAAGACATTGAGGGTCTTATCGATGTGTAATGAGCATTGTGATATTCCTGAGCCTAAAATACATTCTACACGGAGAGCCCTTTTGCAGCAAAGAGAAGAACATTGTGGTCCTGTAGAAGAGTGAGAACGTTTGAAACATTGCAACATCTTGAAAAATAGATCCAAGAAAGAGTGTTTGCCCATGAGTAGTCATCATATGCCTACGCCTCCGAGAAAAATGTCTATTGTTTGACGTACATACGGATGTGGGGAATACTGAGTATTGTTGGTGAGTTAATACATAGATGATCCGTACCACCTACGGGGCTGGAAAGGTATTGTAATAGTGTGAAGGAGACATTTAAAAACGAATAAAAGGAAATGCTTTGAAGGCACCACGGGAAAGTCAAAACAGTAGAGCGCCATTATCCCGAAGAACCATAGCATCTAAAGTTTCTTTTCGGGTGAATGTTGGCTATTTAAAATCATAGCCGAAGAGAGTCATATGTAGATAACGATCTTCAGGATATACCACATGAAGGTGTTATATTTATAACGTGAAGTATACAAACGATTTGGACAATGATGCTGAGGTGGTTCGTGTGCGGTGTTGCTCTGCTTCTTCCCAGCGCGGTTTCGGTAGAACTCTCGTCATTCATGACCAACATTGAACTGCCTGGACTTCCTGGCGTTACCAAGTTACAAACTCTCCATGCTCCATCTGAAATCACTTGTGCCGTTTTGTGTCTTGCGATGGACGCGTGTTCCTGGTACACCCAAGACCAGGGAACCTACATATGTACCCTCTTCCGAGAGTACCACCCAGCGGATATCACACCAAATAGCTTTGATCAGGACTTCAACGACACCCTCTTTGGAGGTAGTATAAATTGAAGCTTTAAAATAGAATTTGTAGTTATTTGTTGTAGAGATGAGTGTTAGTGACTGAACGAGTATGGATGTATGCCGCCTTTAGCAACATTCGAGCAATATCGGGGGACTCAGACAGTGTACCAATGTGGGGTATCAAACACGAGAGGCGTTACAAGCAATAATTTTAACAGCTTCCCCACCGTCCAAGAGATGATTGTGAATGTCACAGTGATAATTGCTTCTCTGTCCCGTACATCTCGTAGTGGATGGAGGGGCGGTCGGGTAGCCTATTGGTTAAAGCGTTCGCTCGTCACGCCGAAGACCCTGGTTCGAATCCCGACATGGGTACAATGTGTGAAGCCCATTTCTGGTGTCCCCCGCCGTGATATTGCTGGAATATTGCTAAAAGCGGCGTAAAACCAAACTCACTCACTCACTCGTAGTGGATGGAAACGAGTTAAAGACATTATAAGTACATTTGAACGTGCCCCACAGTTAGACATCTGTTCCTGGAGTTCGAAACATTTACCTAATACCTTTACCTAAAACAACTACTCACAGGATCTCACACTATATACTGATGGCTCCCCGTGTTCTCTTAATTGTGCCATGGCATATTGGTAATTTTGGGAAAACTTAAGCTAGTCCAGGATCTTTTTCTTGCCTATTCTGCAGAATACGCTGGGGCTATCACATCCTGTAAATTCAAGAAATCCTACAAGGATATTGCACAGCATTGGACCTAATCTGTCCACAACGTAATGCAATGGTTCGTAGAGTAGCGTTTATGACTATGTGGATCCAGTAATGTGCATACAGCATCATATGTGTGTTTTCTTCCTCGTGAACTGAAGTGAACACTACCAGTAGTAATGAGAAATAATCTAAAGTATCCTTGCATCCATCTACCACAACACATCATGTGCAATCAGGCAATGTCTTCCGACCTGTTGTTTGCACCAACATTCATTCAGACATACAACTAGAGTAGACTTGGTCACATAACGATCAACGGGGTCAAAAGCTTTTTTATAAAATCGACAAAGGCTACATACACTTTGTGTTTACGTTGTGATAAAATTTTGGATTATTGCATATAATGTGAATATATGATCTGACGTTGAGTATTTTTTTCTAAAACCAGCTTGAGTTTCGGGAATCTTATCTCGCATGTTAGCCCATTCGTAATCCTGGAATTAAGTACTGATGAAATAATCTTTCCAAGAATACTCATTAAAAATATTCCCCTATAATTGTCTGGGTTGTTAAAAACTCCTTTCTTGTGTATTGGAATAATTACCGAACAAGACCAGCTTCTGGGGAATATACCACTGTCACGCATCCTATTGAACCATTTTTGAAGAAAATGTATCATCTAAAATTTGGAACATTTTATCATTTCAACGACAATATGGTCAGGACTAGCAGCTTTTCCACTTTTTAGATGCATTATAGCGTCCGGAATTTCACCCTGTGACATAGGTGATTCTAACATAAGTTTGTCAACATCAGTATAACATGAAGAGGAAACATCCAGAATATCGCCAAACACATCACTGTTAGTATTGAAAACAGTGTCATTTGAAAAAACTTTCATAAAATGAATAAGCCACTCAGCCTTTGAGATACTATCTTTTCTATTTGACTGTTTTTTAATGAACGTATTTGTTTCCAAAACGTGTAGCGAGAATGGATAGTATCACTGAGATTGTTTGGTCTAAATTTACACAAGTAAGATTTATATTTCCTACAGCAGGATTTGTATTGATTTCTCATTTTGCAATAGATATTTCTATTAGAATCAGTACGTCTAGATTAATGTTCTCAATGCCTTTCAAGCTTTTCGTCTAGCAATCTTACATTCGTCACTTAATGATGCCTTGGTAGGTTGATAGAACAGTAGCCAAGATCTTTTCCTCATACAATTGCAGAATCTGAGATAACATGGACTTAATCATCTCTTTCCCCATCTATGTTAAACTCCATTTTACTCAAACGTAGTTGATTACAAGACACCATTCTTTCCTGCAAGCTGTTCAAAAACGTTTCGTCGCCTTATAATTGTGCAATAAGTGCAATAATCTTGGACGCGACGTTAAACCCCATTTTACCTCACCCCAAAAACGTTTCACAAAGAGATTCATTCAAAACAATCTTTTCTTTGAAACAACCAGATATTGGCTTATCATTTTGGTTGTTCATGTCTGAGATTTTAAACGTCAATTCTAATGGTAAATAATCGGACACTATACGATCTCCAATGTTAAACATGGCAATGTTTTGAAAAAGATCTGGAGAACAGATAAAGTAATCATTCACACTACTCAGCCCTGGAAACCACAATATGTATATTCTCTCGGCGTCTCCATATACCCTGCCGTTAACAATAAATAGCTGGGATGAATAACACATCTCCAACAATATATGCCCAAATCTGTTGATCACCCTGTCATGGGATTTACGATCATCAATAAGTAGATCTTCCTCCTCACTAAATGAAATATTGTTTACCAAAAGCATCACCAACTTTAGCAAGTTGGTTATTTTGTTCAAGAGTAAATATATGACGTCAACGCCAGAGAATAACCAGTCTCGATTATCGACCGAAATTTGCGTAAGAGGCAAAATACCGGTGAAAATTAGATGAATGGATCACTGAAAGTAGGTGATGACTCCAAGAGAAAATGTCCAGGCCTACCTGTAGCCGTTAACCCGTGAAAACCCGGGGTATAATAGGTCTTCGGCACCCCATGCTTGCCTTAAAAGGCGACTATGCTTGTCGTAAGAGGCGACTAACGGGATCGGGTTGTCAGGCTCGCTGACGTGGTTGATGCATGTCATCGTATCCCAATTACGTGGATCGATGCACATGATGTCAATCTCTGAATTGTCTGGTCCAGACTCGATTATTTACAGACCGCCGTCGTATAGCTGGAATATTGCTGACTCCGGCGTTAAACAACAAACAAACAAACAAACAATAAAACTTGACAACTCAATGAGAGATGACATCATGCATGTGGGTCTTCGTCCAACACCCGCCCATCCGTTCGCCCTTATTCTTATCTCTACTTCTCATAATCTACTTAACATATCAATAGCATTTTCGAACAACATGTTCCACGGGACAACAAGAGCAACTGATTTCAGCGCAAAAATCTCCTTTAAAACTTTTGGACACAAGGTTTTGATTTTGACAACTTAAAAGAGTGGAAAGTGGGTGTTTGTAATCAGTTAAAATGCAACTTAATCACCAAACATCACATCAGGCCAACATTTTTTCCTACCATTGATCAAACTTGTCTTCTGGAAACTCTCCCATCACGAAACGTCTCAAATGATCACGCCTGCAATGTTCGTAAACAACAACCAGGGACAGGTAACTCTAATCACTCGCTACTGCCAACAACATGCGACATGTTACTGTCACTTCAATAATTTTCTGCCACGGACATATTTTACAAATATTTTTTTTGTAATTGCTTAACTGTGTGAATCTCACTTCCAGTGTGATTGTGAAGTTAGAACTGTTCCTGCAAGTGGGATTTGAAAATTGATTTGCTGGACTTTTCTCACTGTGTGTTATTTTTTAAGATTGACATATTAATCTAAGTGCAGTTTTAAAAATGAGTTATGTAAATGTGTTACATTTAGTATAATTATATCTTGTTATGATCGGTCTCAACAGTATCTTTCAAACTTATTCCAAGTTTGACTCTCATCCACTGAATCACACTCGGGTTTTAACAAATCGATTTCTAATAAATGGGTGTTTAAGAAAGGCGTGACAACCAGTTTTTACATGTACTTCTCAACATGTCTGAAGAGTGTATTGATATGACCATTTCATTTTGACAATATGTAATACGTTCCCTGGTAAATAGTGAAATCTCGCTGTTTCTTTAGTGAATTAGGAAAATATTATAAACTCTCGAATAATAACATGCGGGAACCTTAACTAGTGTCGGAATATTGATCAGTGTTTTGACTTACTTGCAGATTGTCGATAAGACACCAATCTGCAACAACAACTGCGAACATTTTATTTTGGTTTCTTTGCGAGAAACATTTCTATCGATCACGACCAACTGAATGACCGCACGAGGTTGTGTTGTTGCACTTCGCGTTTAGTAACCGTCTATACAGTAGATACTGAAGCAATACTGTCGGCAATAGAAATATAGTGTTTGTCGCATTACATATAATCGCTGTAAGATTGATTTTCAGTTGAAAGCAAATATCACTGACGTTAAAAGATTTAGGTATTTACATTTGGATACCATTACTTTGCAGGATGAAAATAGATGGAAACCGTGTTATTGAGACATATTCCTTGTCCGATATGGTGGGAAGCAGAACAATTCGTGTCATGCTTGTTTATTTAAGGGTTGAAGTTGTATTTGTTGACGTTCATCAGCTGATGAAGACAGTGCCTCACGTGAGCAAATTCAGTCAGCTGATGAACGTCAATAAATACAACTTCAATCCTAAGATTGACAGATACATAAATCATAACAAAACAATCAAAATTTTATTATCTAAAGATATGCGGAGAGTCGTGACGTCGTGACGTCATTCCCCCCAAACATTCAATTTGGAGTGACATCCCTTGGTTTTACAAACGGCAGAAAATGGCGGCTACGGCAATGTCATTCGCTTGAAATAAAAGTTGCACCCAGTAAAGTTGGCGTTGGAAAGAAATCCAGACCCGGCTGATGCTGAAATGGATTGATATTAATGTTCTGTGAACTTTGGGTGTGTGTTTGAGTCATACTACGACTGCTGATGACGGGGATTACCGCTTGAGGTGTCGCGTCTGGATTTCCCGAAGCAGTACACGACAGTGTGGAGCTCAGTGATTTCTTTTGGTAAGTCGAGCATTCTCTGTTTTCGCTTCGAATGGCCGCTTCATTTCGGTGACCCGACATATACATGACCTGTCTGGGTTCAAAGCCTGCAGGGGGCACGGGTGGCCCAGTCGTCTAAGGCGCCGCGATTCGCTGTGCA